CTGAAGCCCCAAGTGTTCCCACCTTTCTGGCTTCATAGCCCAGGGGATATCTGGTCCATCTAGGTGTTATAAGTGTTCTTTAGTGAAATGAGACCTTTACTAGTTAATATCAAACTTTATCTTTGGTTGTGGGTATTTTAAGTTTTGTTTTTCTTTCAGTTCTGTGTTGGATTATTTGCTGTTCCCACCACTTAAACTCTGAGCTGGAACCAATTTGTTGTCCTTTGCTTACTTCTAAAATGGGGGAACTTCCTGTGGGGACCAGTACTTGAGCTCTGTGGTTGAGCTAAATTGCTGCTTTGCTGCTGATTCTGTAGGGAAGGCTTTTTGTGCAGCTCAGGTTTTAATGGTTGAATTTATAGGTAACCCCGACTCTCAAGAGATCCCGTGCACCTGGGTTGTATAGAAACTCTGGCCTGGGCCTGAGTCTTTTCATCAAACTGAACCCCATGCAATTCTGTATTTCTGAGCAGTCTCCACTGAGAGGTCCTATGCTGACTGGGGGCAGATCAGCTGTCCTTGCTGTGCCCAGTGTTCTTCCGGTGGCTTGTCTCCTCCATTGCCCATGCTCCAGACACTTCCCATGGGACAGGCCATGATCCAGTCCCTTGTGATCACTTGCCAGCCTCTGAGTGGCTCCTTTTTTTTTAGCTGTTCTGGCTCCTCACTCTTCTGTGGATCCACGGGAAACCTGTTAGTGGTCTTGCTGGCCTGGGGGCCACCAAGGCTCTCTTCTCTCCTGCTGCCTCCCAGCAACTTCATCTGATGGGCATAGCTGAGGCTTTTGCCAGCTCTTGCTCCAAGTGCTCACCATCACCAGCCTGGAAGTGACCAGGGTTCAAAACAGTCGGAGTGGTCCTTTCTTTCTCTCATCGTGGCTTCTCCCACTTTCACACACTCCTTAGGTCTCTCCTCCTCTTCCCCTGAGCTCTAGGGGCCCCAGCTTGACTGCCATTGCTTTTTTGTAGTTGTGAATTTATTGATTTGGGGGAGAGAGTGACATTGGGGACCGTCTATTCTGCCGTCTTGACCAGAAGTCCCCACAACAGCTTTGGATGTAAAGTTATACCACCTTCATTTCAAAAGTAAGGAATGGCTACAAGAGGCTAAATAATATTGTCTGAGCTTTCACAAGTGCAATCATGAGTAACCCTAGAAACCAAACCCCATCCTGTTTGATTCCAAAGCCTATGGTTTCTTAACCACGATGGTATAATGTTTTTTCTGACTCCCCGATGGCTTCAGTCATTTTTTTCAGAGACATCATCACTTCATTTGTATAATTTTCCTTCTTCACTTGACCTTAGCATCTCCACAGAAACATATTATTCTCAAAGAGGTCATACCTAGAGCTTTTTTTTGGGTCAGTGGCATAGTGGCAAGTCTCAAGTGTGAACACCCTCAGCCTGTGGGCTGTGGGAACATAAATACAACCCCCCAAAAGTTGCATCTTATCTTTCTTCCCCTAAATAACAAATAGTTTATGGCTTACTTTATTGTGTGCATAGCTAGTACTGTCTCCTCGAGAAAATGTAACTCTACCATGAAGTAAGATGAATGGCATTAAATACCTGCCAGATGAAGTTCGTGTTTTCTGTGAAAGCTTGTACCACCATACGCTTGCTCAACTGCATGTCCCCTTGAGGGGTGGTAGCCAAGATAACCTATGAGCAGGATGGGTGACCACCAACGCTTGGTCTATATCAATGAAAACTAGATCTTTGCATGGTAAGGTAGGAGGAAGAACATCTAGCTCTCAGAAATGGGAGACCCTGTGATGGGGTATGATGGAAAGGAGGGATGTTCCTAAAGTACTAAAGAATGTAGTAGCCTACCTTGCTTAAGTGAGCCTTTAAATAAATATGGATAACTTACAGGAATAATGATTACATACTTCTTGAGGTCATCTTCTGTAAGAATGCATGCACATCAAGTCCCAAGGAAAATTACGGAGTATGCATAGTTTATTTCATGTTTCTTAATAAATATTTTTTCAACAATTACTCTTCCTTTCATGGCCTTTCACTTTCTTACGTTTTTAGAACTTACCAATGCACCCTGACCTCAGCAATTTGCTCTCTGCAAATAGTATGGGTCTCATTCCTCATCTTCTAAACTTGTCAGATGACTGATTCAATGGTAGTCTACTTGGAGCTAATATGAGAAGTTTTCAAAAAGTTCATGGAAAGATCCATATTATCTTGCAATACTATTTTTCCACAAACTTGTAAAAGTAGCCTTGTTTATAACAAATAGCTCATTACGGCTAAAGAGGAAAAGACGTTTACATTTTAGTCTGTGCTCACATCCTAGGAGTAAATATAAGACATCCTCATTCTTTAGCAGAGCCCAGTCACAGAGAGAGCTCCTCAAAGGGGATTGCTTTCTGCAGTCCTCACATCAAAACACCCGCTGTCTCCATGCTGTTTCTCCACAAGGCCTGACTACTCAGCTGGCTTCCTCCTCAACCGTGGTTGCTTCTCTCTAATGTGCTCACTCCTCTAATGTTTCACAATCTGGTTACCAAGGCAGCTTTTCCTGGTACCTTCCACATCCTTCAGCCAATCAATACTCTCCTCTCCCATCCATTCTTCTCCCTTGTTAAGAGTCAGTTTCTCACCAGAGTTGAAAGGCCTCTCATTAGTGCAATGGACTCTAACATTTCTTCTTTCCCTCCAATCTGGCCATTCTCAGCAGGCCTTTTCTCCCCATTCCGCACTTCCAAACTGAGATATACTTAAGTATCAAGATTTTTAAGTAGTATTTGGGGAATACAACCAAAGCAAAATATACATTTATTTGGATTTGGGAAAAGGGAGGACAAGGAAGAAAAACACATGACCAGCCATGTACTCATATCCAATGCCTGGAAGAGTCAGAAATTCCATGATAGTAACAGTATTTATCTCCCCTCAGTATGGTGCATCTTACCACAGCAGAAGTCATAGGAAGGAAAGGGGGGGAAGGAATGTACAAATAATTCGGGACCGTGGGAAATTTAGTAGATGTGATCGTAGATTATTCATATGGAAGGAATATGAGAGGAAGACACAAACACTTCTATTTTCATTTTTGTAAGGTGGTGGTTTGAATAATGACCTTACTTGTTTTTATAAACCCAAATTCTCAACGATCAGCACTAAAATGTGGCTACAAATAAAACAGCTTGTGCTAGAGCATATAAAATGATAGGGGCTTAGAGGTAGACAGAGATAATCCTAATGACAATCAGACAATCCAGCGCACCTTCCGGATATTCCACAGAGCACCAAATGTCAGAAGAAACTCAGAAAAATGCCATCAATCATCTACATACTTCTAGTACACTTGAATGTACTCTGTCATATAGACAAATTATCCAGATGTCAAACTAATTTTTTCAATTTCCGCTTGAAAGCTTTGTGTCATCTAAGTCTACTCAACATTAAATTAATTTTGTTTCCTTTCTCTCAACATTATGAGGATCATATTTCTGGCAACATTTTATTGTCATGCAACATGGTCTGGAGAACATGGTTAAACTCATATTCTAGCTAACCGTGTTATACGTCCAATATATGCATCAAATTGTTTTTGTTTCATCCTTTTCTTTTCATGTCTCTGTTCATGTCTTATGTCTCCTCTTTCCCAGGAAAGTTTCTGAGAATACAGCCTGCACTTAAGCATTTTCACACCCTTCGCAGGGTTCTTAGTACCATGTGTAACCTGCATTCTACCTGGTTAACAGATGTTTGTGAAGTGGGTGAATCTACAGTATCTGGATGACCACTATTCAAAGAGTTATATTACAAAGATAAACTGAACACAGAAACTGTATACAGCATGAGTGCCTTTCTTGATTATAAAAACATTTTAGGGTACTGGGATACTTCAAGGTCATCATTAAAAATCTTGAAGGTTACTAGAGTACAGAGTTGGGGAACAATGTTTAAAAGAGGCCCAGGTAATAAGACAGCAGATCATATCATCTTATGTAACACCCTTATGTAACACCCTTCCATGGTTACCCGGTACTCTCAGGATAAACACCAGTTGCCTTGTATGTCCCAGCATGACTCAGACCTGTCCCATCTCTCTACACCTGCAGTCTTGGCTCACATATCCCCCCTATTCTCTATACTTCAGTCACAGTTTTTCATTTTTCACTCCTCAGAGTCTTTTGAGACAGTTCTGTCTTCTGAATCCTTGAAATTTCTTAGTTATAAGCCCTTGTAACCCTCAGAACACATATTGCGGTTTATAATTATGTATTAATTACAGAGATCACTGGAATAATGTCAAATTCCCCCACTGGACTCTAAGCAGCATGAAAGCGGTGTCCTTACCTGATTTGCTCACCATCAGATCACCAGTGCCTAGCACAGTGCTTTGCAGAAGGGAGTTACTCGATAAATATTAGTGAATGAACGAGTGAATGAATGTGTGATTTTCCTTCTGACTACTACACACGCATGTTTTTCATGTGAAATACTCATACATGGATTCATATGAGGAGCAGTAAATATTTTAAGCATATTTTAAATACCAGGTGACTAATTAACATAGACATTATGAAAATAATTTGGAATTCTCATTATTATAAAGCAAAATGCTTTGATTCCTTAATCAAATGTACTGTCCATGGTAACAGTTAAATCCCGTGCTACTATGGGATTTGTCAGAGATTTTTGTCTTTTTAAAAATGACTTCATACTCTTGACTAGAACATGAACTAATATTTATCAACAAGACCATTCAAAGCAACATGACCTCTTTTGAATTCAAAGAATCAGTGAAAATGTCAATTACTGCTAGACGGACAGGCAGAAAAGAATACATTCTAGTCTGTACTTCTCTTGTCCTGCAAGACTTATGCTCCTGTTCCATTTTCTGAACAATCTAGTAAAATTCAATTTACTTTTTCAATTTGTCTCCAGCCAAGCTTCCTTCTGTCAGCTATGCAGACATTTCAATGCCGGCAACATAAAATAACAGTAGAAGGACAACGAGAATGAAATTACCTGTGCATTTGCGATCTGTGTCTTCTTTTTTTGACCCACTAATCGTCAACTTGCAGTTGAAGTTTTCCTCCCAGTATTCAGCAAACCACACATTTCTTCTGTTGTTTTCAAGTGTGCGGGACGTAAAGTAGGCATCAAACCCTAAACAGAGTTAAATAGAAAGGTCAGTGCTCATGGGGCACTGTTGGCACATCTAGAAATAAATTACCAGTTATGGTTTTTCTTTGTTTTAGTAGACTGGATGCTCTTTTTTGTAATAAAAAACAAATCAAATAAAAAAATATTCTAATGCTAACCTATGGATAAATCCTTAGTTCAATTTGTCAGGCAGATGTGAAGCCTACAAATGATATTTTCACAATGAAATCTGCATTAAGGATCATAGGAATGACACAAAGATCACTACATGTTCTGCTTCTATAGTGACTCCATTATCATCATTGAGATAATAACTGACAGTTTCAGTGCTTACTTTGAACCAGATTGTATGCTTAATACAGATTCTTTCTTTTACTCATATCATCAACCTATACGGTAACTACTGTCATTATCCCCACTTGCAGATGAGAAAACAGAAGCCTAGAGGAAGTAATAACATGCCCATTGTGCCATATTCTGCATCTGTGACCATGTCAGCTACTGATGTGTGAGTATCATTTTGAGAACCATCTTTAACTTAGTAACATCACATTATGTAATTGACACTCTAGTCAAAACAGAACTAAACATTTTTGAAGAGGCCATAGGTAAAATGAGCCCAAGGCAAAGCTTAATCCTATTTATAAACAGTGTCCAGATGAGATCCAAGAGGCCACATGTCCAGGAATTCTCTTAACTGCCTCCAGAGACTATAGTTGGACAGTGCAACTTTTAATGCTCCAGTGGGGCCATAAGATCTTATGAAAATTAAATGGAAAAAAAGATTGGATTCAGTGTCCCAAGGTCTAGGTTCAAGTCTCAGCTTTATTGATCTCACTAAATTGTGGAAAGATGAACAATTACATACTTAACCTTTCTTATCTGCCTTTCACCCATCTATAACAATGACAACGACATCACCTCCTTCCCCCACAGCATCTTGGAAACTCACAGAGTTGAAGATCCATAGCCATAGAAGAAGATGGACTTACTTTCACATTATTCAAAGTTTCTCTTAACTTTAAGGCTATAGAATGCATAATAGTTACAAAAATACAAAAATAATCAGTATTTTACGTACATTTTCTGATTAAGTGTCCCATTAACCCTAGGAAGTAGGTACTACTCACATCTACAATTTAGATGTTAGAAACATAGACTCAGAGAAGAGTTTGGACCAAGGTATGCCTGCTTCCAGACCCTGGCTTCTAACTCACATACTATAGAGAAGTGGCTCTCGCATTTTGGGTGGTATCAGAATCATCTGGAGAACTGATAAACAACATGGAGACCAGGCATGTTGAGGGAGGTAGAATCTGGATTTTTAATTTTTTTTCTCAAATTGCCCAGTAGATTCCCATGCCCACGAAAGGTTGAGAGCTACTGCTGTGGAGTGTTTCTGTGACCTGCTTCCCATGCCATGTCCTTTCTTTCTCTACTAGGTGCCTATCACCACACTCTACATCAGCCATTGACTCTACAGGCAACCGGGTGGTTTAACAGGTACAACAGCAAATCAATGATGCAGTCAGGTGTTGGAATGGGTAAGTCAGTCAAAATGGTTAACTTGGCTGTGTGGCCAGACAGTGCTGGAGCAAAAGCCTATTTCAGAAAACGGAGCTCCTCTCAGACAATTCAAAGATGCAGAAGCAGAGGTCAAATGGATATTATTCAATTTATGTAAATCTTACTGACTAGCCTCTGCTTAGCTGTCAGATTTCTCCTAGCACTTAACAATCTGTTTATTTCCCTTTACCAGAGATATGACAAAAAATAAATTAAGTAGGTTTCCTATACTCATTTTCATTCATAAAGAATGAAATCATCTGTGAGATATTCAAGTTTGCAAAAGAGACCTTTTGATGTAGCCATGTATTTACAATGCCTTGGGACATACCTGGTAGCTCTTTGAGTTAGGCATACACCGTAGCTCTTCTTTATTAACAGATAAGGAGCTTCTGCTATGGGCTAGTTGAAAGCCTTCCCCCTGGCTGAAGTCACTAAGCCATCAATCTTGGCCTGTTAATTGTAGTTTCTGCAGCCAAAGATTCTACCTGTTTTGTTTTAGGAATAGATTATTCGGCACAAGATGTATGGTCACCAAGGTGGAGCAGAGTCAGGGATAGAAACAGAAATTAGAACAACTCTAATAATCTAATTGAATTATCTGTTCACAGTTGGCCCTCTATATCCATGGGTTTTGCATTTGGAGATTCAGCCAAACTTTGACCAAAAATATTCAAAAAATAAAATAAAAAATAACAATATAACAATAAAAAATAATATAAATATAAAAACAATACAGCATTACATTTACATAGCATTTACGTTGTATTAGATATTATAAGTAACCTAGATATGATTTAAAGTATATGGGAGAATGTGTATAGGTTATCTGCAAATATTACACCATTTTACATCAGAGACTTAAGCATCCACAGACTTTGTTATCTGCAGTGGGTCCTGGAACCAATCCCCTTGGATACTGTGCAATTACTGTGTGTGTGTGTGTGTGTGTGTGTGTGTGTGTGTGTGTGAGTGAGGGAGAGAGAGAGAGAGAGACAGTGAATTGAGACTTACTTCTTATCTCTTCTAGAGCTCAGAAGAAAAGTGATTGAACACATATCCCATTACTATTAAATTATCAGAGTTTTTAAAAGTAAGCCAAGTCACCAGGACCAGGATTTCAGCTCACAGAAAACAGAGTTAAGTTAAAAGACAAAGGTCATTTTTTATATGGAGCAGATGAAATTTTTACAACAAAATTGTGCCTTTTATTGGAGAGATGAGTTTAATTCTAGAAATTTATCTCTAGGTGACTCTGAAGCAATTACCCTATAGGGTACACATTGAGTGACATTTCTATAATCTTGGCAGTGAACTTAAAACAACATAGGAAAAAAAAAAAAAAAAAAAGGGCTTTACCTGGTAGAAATTTATCTCTAGGTGACTCTGAAGCAATTACCCTATAGGGTACACATTGAGTGACATTTCTATAATCTTGGCAGTGAACTTAAAACAACATAGGAAAAAAAAAAAAAAAAACAGGGCTTTACCTGGCATTACAACTACACCTGTCCATTTTATTTTCTCTTTTAACTGGGGTGCTTCCCTTAAACACACCCTGAAATTTGTGGTTGAGAGAGTGCAAATCAATAGAATCATAATTCATCCCAGGTGGTATGTTTGAGAGATGACCTTTCCAGCTGAGAGGGAAAAAAGGCTCTCACAAGTGTGTGGTGTGAAAGGAAAACTATCAGAATGTCAAAAGGGGGTCAGAGGACAGCAGCCTGCTCTGGCAGGGTGAAGGGAGGCTGACAGATACTAATGGGGCTTCCTGCAGCATCAGAAAGTGACCAGTAGCCCTGATTGCTGCTTTCTCGACACTATTCATGCGTTGTAGATTAGAACATCTCTGTCAGCCTAAGTGTCAGCCTAAGCACCCAGGGCTTCCAGTTCCCCAGCTGGTAAGGAGGGGCTGTTAGCATTTCTTGGTCTGCTTCCAGATCAGGAAGGATGTGTGATAGAGTATGGATGTGTTGGACCCCCAAAACTCATGTGGAAATCTGATCCCCAATGTGGCAGTTTTGGGTGCTGTTTGAGTCATGAGGGTGGATCCCTCATGAAAGGATTAATGCTCTCCTTGGGGGGTGGGGTAGTGAGTGAGTTTTGGGCTTTATTAGTTCCCCTGATAGCTGTTTGTTTAAAGGACCTGGCACCTCCTCTTTCTCTCTCTCTTGCTTCCTCTCACCATGTGATCTGCTTGTATCCACCAGCTGCCTGCCACTTTCCTCCATGAGTAGAAGCAGCCTGAGGCCTGCACCAGATGCCACTGTCCAAAATCGTGAGCCAAATAAACCTCTTTTCTTTATAAATTTCCCAGTCTCAGGTATTCTGTTATAGCAACACCAAAATGGACTAATACAATGTGCTAATGATTCAGAAACACTCCTGGCACACTGGAGGCACACGATTCCACTGGCGTAGAAGAATGTAGTGGTGAACACAAAGAAGAAAGGAAAAGATGGGGAGGAGAGAGACAGAGGGAGAGAAAGAGAGACAGAAGGAGAAACGATGAAAGGGAGGAGAAGGAGGGGACGGGAGGAGAGGGAAGAGAGAGACATTGATGAGGGAGAGAAGCAGGGATCTCACATTCCCTGCGCTGGGAGGGCACATCAGTATAAGCACTCCGGGCAGCCAGTGGGCATCATCCGTGAACATTGCTAATATGCACACTGTAAAGAGCCAGCCATCTACTGCTACGTACATTCACTAGAGAAAGTTTTATATGTGGGCACCAGGATATATGTTCAAGAATGTCCAGAATGGTAATGTTCACAATAATTAAAAGCTGAGACAACCCAAATGCACGTGGATTATGGAATGAATGCATCGTGACACACTGCACAGCACAGAAAATGCTGTTCACAACAATAGGCATGAGTCACACAATAACAAATAAGAAACAAAGAACACACTCAGTGTCGTTCATCGTATGTAAAGTTCAAAACTGGGAAGAACCAAGCCACATTGTTTATTAAGGCAGATGCAGGTGGTTAAACTATAAAGAAAAGCAATGGGATTGGGAGGCAGACACAATGGTGAAGGGGAGCAAGAGCGTGGGTCATCAGTTCTCTTGCTAATTTCTCTACCTGGGTGGTGACTTTATAATTATTTTTTAACCGCACATATTTATCTTATGCCGTTTTCTATTTCTATGACATAACTCATGGTAGTGGGTTAAATCGTGGCCCTCAAAATGATATGTCCGTGCCCTAACCCCCTGAACTTGTGAATAGGACCTGATTTGGAAAACATTTGAATATTGTACAACAGTAAATTACATTGCAAATGTAGTTAAGGGTCTCTAGATAAAATCATCCTATATTATCTAGGTGGGCCCTAAAGCCAATGAAAGTGCCTTTATAAGAGGCATACAGAAAAGAAACACACAGGGAGAAGGGAAGAAAGATGTGTGTGAAGATGGAGGCAGAGACTGGGTG